GCCGGATGGAGGAGCAGCCGTCGGGAAGGTGTAGGTTTCATTACGACGGTGCGGTGTGAGTGTCCGACACCGCCTCCCTGCCGCCTTTCCCCGGCTCTGCCTCGCCGATCTGTGGCTAAACCTTACATCGCCTTCGCGGGGGAGCGAGGCTGGGCGGTAGAAGTCGGTATGGAGCCCCGGCCTCTCTGGGGCTCCCTGGAGGGGTGTTTTGAGATGACTGTACCCTAGCTCTCTCACAGAATAAGTTAAGCTTGAGGGGGTTTTGCAGTACCATCCCGTGGGAGAGCGCATTACCCACCTGAAGCCACACCGAGTTTAGTCTCAGTGTACGTGCACAGGTGATGGATATACACACCCCACTGACAGATCGATGGAAACATCTTAGTTGTTCTGGAGGCTTATTTCTTCAACATCACAGACTGCTGGTTTGTTAAACATGTCTGTTCCTGGAGGAGCAATTCACCTTGGAGGAAACTGCCCACCTGACTAATGTAAAATTGGGTCGGGTAATAATTAACCTTGTTTCTGCATTGTCTCGTTGTAATTATATGATCTTTGCTTGCTGACTGAGACTGTGGAATCTCTTCCAAGTATTCTTCAGAAATGTAGGTTGCAGAATCTTTGCAGGGAAAGCTAGGAGAACTGAAATTAACAGCTGGTTAGCAAATAGGGTAGGTAGGAAGAGACAAATTTAAGAATCATTACATGAGTGTTATGTTTAACATGTTGGTTCCAGGTATCTGACACACCATTTGTTCCAGAAATAACATGTTAATGGGTCTGACTTAAAAGCTGAATAAATAGAGACGTTGCACACTCCTAATACGGGGATGTGCATTAAAAGATTCTTTTGAAACTTAACATTTCAATTAGATTCTGCAGAAATCCATTGCAAAAATTTGCTATTAGAGACGTTTGTTTGTTAATTTGAAGCCGTTAAGCGGTAGAGATAAGATCAGGAATGGTTTCTGTAGTAAATCTAGTTATTTTGTTATTTGAGTAAAGCTAGCAAAAGGCATCAGTAATTCTGCTTTAATAAAACCTTGTTATTGAAGACTTTTTAATCTTTTTCGATTTTTTTTTTTTTATACCTTCCTAGCCGAAAAGCACTTTGTAGAAAGAGCACACAAAATACATGCAAAATTGTCTCCATGAAGTCACAGAAATAGCTGTGGCTTTTTAGAGGTGGTTGCTGTTTTAGATACCTAATAAGCATTTTGTCCTTCTCCTTCAGCTCAACCCAAATGTAAGTGTATTTCAGAGAAAATTTGTGAATGAAGTAAAGAAGTGTGAAGAAATGGAAAGAATACTCGGTGAGCTTTGTTTTCATGTCTGCCCTTTCTCGTCTGTGGCATTGTTAAAGCTTACATTGCCAGAGTGGAACTACAGTGAAGGTTTCAGCTACAGGGTTTTTTTAATCTTCCTGGTCGGGTATGATCTGAATGCTGCAGAATCTTGCAAAACTTTCATATGAAAAAATACACATATGTATACTGGTATCCGTAGAGTCTTTATAGAGTTTTGGAGCCAGAGATGACTTGATGGTAGCACCAAATTGGGTCAGAACATAGAGATCTGTTCCTTAATTTGTGTTGATATGGTGCATCAGTTTTGAGTGTATCACAGAATCATTTGGGTTGGAATGGACGTCGTGAGATCACCTAGTCAACCTCCAGCTCAAGCAGGGGCAGGTCAAGCCAGTTGTCCAGGACACTGTCTGGTGGGATTTTGATTATGGAGACTCCACAACCTCCCTGGGCAACCTGTTCCAGTGTTTTACCGCTGATCTCTGTTCTTGCTTTTGTGCGCTGTGAAACTTACTTACACCACAACATGGTTGTGCTAAATACAGGTTTGGTTTTGGTTTTGTCTTGGTTTGGTTTTTTTTGTTGGTTTTTTTTTTTCTTTTAAGCTCAGATGTGAAGAAGAGTTGCTGGTGTCTTGCTGATAAATAGTTGAGATCATTTCAGTATTGACTGCTTCAAACTCTGCTGGGAAAGTGGAAGCTTTACTCTGGATATTCACTGACTATAAGATAAACCCTGTTTCTCATGTTATGTAACTCAATACTGTTGAACTTCCAAGCACCCTCAAAAATTCCTCAAGTTATTAATAATTGTATTCACATGGTGGTTAATGAATAGAGAAGGGCATGCAGAGCATGACAGCCAAGATGCAGATTTCCTCAATGTATCCTGGGGAAACGTTGCCGTTGAAGGATTCTTTTATTGGAATCTCTCATCAGAAGCACGTGCTGGTCATGCCAAACCATCCCGGTAGCTATTTCTGCCATCTCCCTGCCCAGCGTGAGTTGCATTTGTTGTCAAGGTTGCTTAAGCGCCTTGTTTGAACACTTTATTCCAAGCATGGGTCAATGAGCAGAATGCCAGTTTTTGGCAGAGGGCGTGATTAGCAGAAAGTGGTGTCTTACAGCAGCAAAGACATACTATGAAATGTTAAAAGCTACTTAAAAAGTACTTGTGGTTGGAAAATTTCGGTCAGAGGACTTTGAAGATAGCTTAATTCATCAAAGTTCCAAGACAGAAATGTTCTGTATGTTTATTCCTAGCACTCCATCACCCCTCTTTTTTTGGAGACTCTAGTGTGTGTTGTTGCTAAAATAAATGAATCAAATAGGTGGGGCCTGGTGCTGCAGTGTGGTCAGCACCATCGGTAACAGATGAAGGTCAACTCTGCAGCATTCTAGGGAGTATAAGGAAATAAAGTTTATTTTCCAATTCTGTTTTTCTTCTCGTTCCAGGGTATTTAGTACAAGAAATTAAAAAGGCAGATATTCCACTTCCTGAAGGAGATGTTGCTCCTCCTGCACCCTTGCTGAAGCACATTTTAGAAATCCAGGTAACTTTACCACACAACAGATGCCAAAAGTATAGCTCCGGCTCTTGGAATGTTTAATTAAAACTCAATTACTCGCTATCTTAATACCTGTCACTTAAGTTGGGTGTGCGTTTAATTAAAACTTAATTACTCGATATCTTAATACCTGTCACTTAAGTTGGGTGTGGCAGGGATGATGGAAGCATTTGCTTTTGTTTTTGTCCATTTTTTTTTGTTTCTGCCAGTGTTACTTCAAAGACTGTCAGTGAGGATTTGATATTAACACAAAATTCCTGTGAAGGGGTCAAAGCTAACTCCCAGGGCTGGCAGCCATCTGTTTTATTTTGATGGATTGGCGTATTACACTGTTCCAGGCAAATTGCTGGAAGTTACTGCTTTGAGACGTACCTTCTCATGCATCCAAAGTTTCCAGAGCATGTGGGGGTTTTATATGCTCAGGGCTCTGCAGGTTCCAGTGCTGGTTGTGTAGCGAACCATGGTGCTGTTTTCTCTGAATGCTTTTTCCGCTGTGACTTTAGATGTAGAAGCTTGTAAAATGCAGATATAGTTTTGAATGATGTTCTGGTTTGCTGGAATTCCATTAATAGAATAGATAAGCATCTTACACCCTGTACTATCTGAAGTCTAATTCCAAGTCTACATTACTTAGCCTGGGCACAAATTAGGGTCGGAACAGAAGACTTAACAGATGCCAGTGGAGGCTCAAGTGCACTAGGTACAAAGCAATCTTTCGCAGACTGAGGAGTAAAACATATGGAGCTTAAGTTAATTAACAAATGGGGAAACTCCCATCATTGCAGCAAATTAATGTGTACTTAAACTTCATCCTCCCCTGATTTCCAAAGCAGTATAGTTGATTCTGTCTTTTTTTTTTTTTTTTTCCCTCCATGTCTTAGGAACAGTTGCAGAAGCTGGAGACAGAATTGAGGGAAGTAACTAAAAACAAAGAAAAATTGAAGAAAAATCTGCTTGAACTGACAGAATACACATGCATGTTAGAGGTCACACAAAGATTTGTCAGGAGAACAGCTGAGGTACTGCTTATGTGGTTTGGCGAGGGTTCTGTGTTGTGGCATTTTTGTTGCGTGACTTGGTGTCGGGCTTTGCAGCGCTGTAAAGTTCATTGTTTGTGCTCGATACCTGGAGAACCTGGCTGGCCAGCTCTTGTGCTAGGCTGTGTTCATATACATAGCAAAATGCAGCCCTGAATTGAGAGGAGCTTTGGGATTTCTCTGTTGAATTGTTTGGATGTTACTGCTGATGCCAGCTGAGAATGAAGGAGTGTCTGTGTTATTTTGACGTGTGAATTGTGCTAAGAAATTTACTGAGTAACCTTTGCAACACTGGCTGTAATTGCTAAGAGTAGTACACTTTAGATCCCAAGATTTCTCTGTTGTCTGAATTGAACACTGTAAAGGGTTTTATATTTTTATTGAAATAATTTACTTAATTGGCTTTTGTTCTTTAGAATAATAAATGAATGAAATTTTTTTTTTTTTTTCCCTGAAAGCTATGAATGATCTTTCTTTTCTTTGCTAGTATGAATCCCATTTACATGTGAATTATGAAGAATTCCCATCTGTGGAGAATGAGCCATTAGTGGATTACAACTGCATGCACAGACTGGGTGCCAAGCTGGGGTAGGTATGGTTGTCAGTGTGGGCTGTTTTAAAACTGCTTGATGAGTTGCTGTAAATAATGGGCTGTTTTCTTCAAAGATGGAATGAATGTAGTGTGACTAGTGATTTCAGATGAACCAAACAGTGTTAGAGTGTGGCCCAAATGTACCTTTGTAACAAAATTGGATTATTTGAAGAGGTAAGACAGCATCAAAAAAAACTGCCACAAAACTTCCATCAAACCAAGTATGTGTGTGAAGGAAAACCTCTAAATGCTCTAAATCGGGACTTTCTTCTACTGTTCAGAGTGTTTTTCTAGAATAAACACGTGGTGCGTCAATCACCTGGCAGTGTCAGTTTGTAAATGTAACGTTGTTAATGGTGTTGCCTACTTGCCTTTAAAATGGTGTATGGATACTGCTCTCTACAACACTGTTATGAGAGGGTATCTTACCACAAAAAACGTTAAGAACTGTACTATCACAGAGAGAAATGATGTAAAATACAGTTCTGGTTGTGTGCTCAGGCCTACAGTCTGTTTTCCAAATAGAAGTTGATTCTATTTTGTATAGCAGTTAATTCCCGCTTGGGGTGATTCTTCCTTCTCTAGAGACAGCAGATGTTAAATTATTGTGACTATGTGGTCGCAAGTGATGATGTACTCTTGAGTTTTTAATTTTACTTGTGGATTTTAGCTTATTTTTCACATTTTTCTTTTTCCATAGATTCATATCTGGGTTAGTTCACATGGCAAAAGTTGAAGCATTTGAAAAAATGCTGTGGAGGGTCTGTAAAGGCTATACTATTCTTACGTATGCAGAGTTGGATGAGTGTCTGGAAGATCCAGATACAGTGAGTAAACTACCAGTTTTTGTTTGTACTTTGCATAGACTTGGAAGAACTGCTGCTCAGTGCAATGAATGGAACTGATTTCCTGGTGCCCTGGGAGGGAAAACCACTTTGGAGTATTAGAACTTGTAAGACTTTGAAATTAGAGGCCTTGATGCCACCGTAACTACAGGAGTGGCCATTAATTTGTTGTGGTTCAGCTTGATGAGTGCAGAACTTTATTGTGGAATAGTCGTGACTTAATGATTTGATCAAAATATGATTTGATCAAAATGGCTGTTGGGATGTTTATTAACTGGGTCTGTACAGTGCATTTCCTTTTAATAGTGATTTTACTTGTTCATTCAGTAGTTAAGGATAAAAAATCTGTAGTACGTTGGTCATCTATGAAGTTTTTTCTCTGAATGTATAAAATTCACTTTTTCTAAACTGGCAATTATGGCTGCTTGATTTGTCACTTTTAAATTTTGCTTCAATTCTAATTTGTAACGTCTTAATTTTTTAAGACTTTTTTGTTACTAATAATTCTGAGATGGTAAAATATATCTTTTATTTTCTCTGAAAACTCTCTGTTTTTCTCTTAATACATCAAAAAAGAGAGAGATAATGTCACACTGGAAATTTATTTTTTGAACTTCACTAAAAATGTAGAAAGTTACTGCCACGAACACAGCTTTTTCTGATTACTCAAATTTGTTATTTTACTTTATAATTATATCACAGCAGAGATGGTTAAAAACAAACTTCATTGACTTCTTTTTTTAGGGCGAAACCACGAAATGGTTTGTTTTTTTAGTGTCCTATTGGGGTGAACAGATTGGGCAGAAAGTTAAGAAGATTTGTGATTGGTAAGAAGTAAAACTAATATGTATTAATTTCTTTTTACCTGGATTATTTTCTTGTTACTTTTCCCCCTGCTCCTCTTCCTTATAAGTATTGATTTTTAAGGGAGGTTTTTGAAGGTTTTATTTTTTAAACTCTCTTCCCATTATCTGCACATTGCTTTGTAATTATACAACATACAGATAAATGTATGAGTCACTTTATCTGCAGTCCATATTAAGTACAGGCAAAATACTGACTCTCAGTTGAATCTGTTCTGTGGTTTTTAAGTGGTGTGTTGCAGATTTGACTAGGGCGTGGGGTTGGGTCATTTGTTTTGTTTTAGTTTGGTTATTTAACACAAACTTCTGTTTTTCTGTAGCTATCACTGTCATGTGTATCCCTATCCAAATAACATGGAAGAGCGCAGGGCAGTTGTTGAAGGACTAAATGTTCGTATTCAGGATCTTCACACTGTGAGTAAATAACAGTATTCCCTTTGCTGTAGTTATTGCACCACAGGAAATGGTTTGACGAATCACAGCATTAAATACACGAATACGTTTGTAAAATACTTACAGCTTTGGACCTTGGACATGAGTGGATGTCTTGTCCCTGCTCTCTGGTATCTGTGAAACTTCAGGGCACTTGGCACTGCCTTCTGTTTTAAGCAGTGGTTACTGTGCCCTCCTGCAAATGCGATCCAGCGTTGGACAGCACTAGGTGCTCGTACTGTGGTTAACCTAACCACTGCTGCATTTTCAATGAAATCTTTTTGCTTTTTTCTTGGACGAAGGTGCTGCATAAAACCGAGGATTACTTACGCCAGGTCTTGTGTAAAGCATCTGAATCAGTCTATACGTGGGTTATCCAAGTGAAGAAGATGAAAGCCATTTACCATGTACTCAACCTGTGCAGCTTTGATGTCACAAATAAATGTTTAATTGCTGAGGTTTGGTGTCCAGTGGCTGATCTGCAAAATCTGCGCCACGCATTGGAGGAAGGTTCAGTAAGTCAGCTGAATGCTCGCTGATGTGACAACTTTGTCTTGACTAACAATACAGATAAGGAAAGAAAATAATTATTTGAAATAGGCTAAAAGTAGGCAGAGGCAGGTCTGGGTCTTTATGAACTCATACCGAACAATTTCTTTATAAGCAGAGCCTTTATTTAGTGTTGTGTGTGGTGGTTTTTTTGGAGGGTGGGGTTGTTGGGGTTTGTTTGTTTTTTCTTGAATAACTTCTATGTTGGACCCAAGTCTGAGTGGGCTTATAATGCTATTTGCAGTCAAGTAGAAGGTGCTAGTTCCCTTTTGTTAGCTGTGTTAGGTGCAGCTCTGTCTTTTTGTTTTATAAGAGAGAATTTTTGTAACAAATCTTCATTGTCCAATATTGACTGATGAGTCTTGTTTGATGTTTTATATAAAGTAAAGATTAGAATGCTGTACATAATCAGTGTTTGTAGAGGAACAGATGAATGTATTTTTTTTTAAGAAGGCACAAAGGGATAAATGTTAAACTTGGGGCTTAATTTAGGGATGTTTCAGAATCAGCGAAACTGCTGATAGAGGAAATGTTTTCACTTTGATTAGATTAAGCATCAACTAGGTTTTTATATAAATGTATCTTCTTTCTGTCTGTAATTAGAGGAAGAGTGGAGCTACAATTTCTTCATTCATGAATACCATCCCAACAACACAACCTCCTCCAACTTTGATACGTACCAATAAATTCACCTCAGGGTTCCAAAACATTGTTGATGCTTACGGAGTTGGAAACTATGGGGAAGTTAATCCAGGTTGGTCCTTGTGAAATCTGAACTGTGAGCTGTGCTATCATTTCTCTTTGCCTTGTTATGTATTTAAATACCTGACCGAACCGGACCCTACTAAAGGCAAAATGGTGCCGACCAAACTGCTTAGTAGTAGCTGTTTCAAAATTTCAGTAGCTCATCAAAAGTACAAATAGTGCTCCAAGTGGTAAGATGGTATTTGGTTTTGCTGAATTATTTTAGCATTAAAGATGCTGATAATAGCTTTATAATGTTTCTTTATATGTTTTACTTTGGACAAGGTAAGATATTTGGGGGGCGGGGGGGAAACCTTTGGTAATGGCTATTGATCTTACTGCAGTGTGGAGCTCATCGCTTGGAAAAAATCGAGCTTGTTCTGTAGTCCAGTTAGTTTAGTGTCCTTATGTATTTTTGTAGCTGTGTTGACTGTGTCATGTTGTACAGGAGAATGTACATACAGAGCCAGAATAGCCACGGAGGAAGAGCTGTTTGTCTTTTATTTCCTGGGCTCATATTATTATCCTCAGAATTGCCAGCTAATGCTCAACCGCAGAGTTGTCATTACTAAGGGATACACAATAAGCAAGCTCTAAACCAAGTTAAATTTATAGTGTGGGGGGAAGGGAATTTCAAACATAAAGCTGAAAATTGTTTGAGAAGTTAAAGCAGTTGAATTGCTTAGACATAATTCAGATAGCAACATCATCTGTTGTGCTGATTGCCTGACATCTGTTGTGTTGTCATTTCAGCTCTCTATACCATCATCACTTTTCCCTTCTTGTTTGCGGTTATGTTTGGAGACTTTGGGCATGGTCTGCTAATGCTTATATTTGCACTCCTGACAATACTGTATGAAAACCACCCTAGATTGCAAAGATCACAAGATGAGGTAAAAGGGTTTACAAATAATTTACTCCCCATCCAGCAAGATAACTTCAACTGAATAGTTACTATGTTTCTGAAAAGTATGGTTTATTGCACATATGTATTAGACTGGGTATTTTTCCTTATTTTCAGGATTTTCTGTGTTTAAAGTTGCTGTATTCCTCACAATTAATGTGGTATCTTAACAAACCATTCACTTCTTTTGAAAGGGCAGAAACAATCACGTTGGAATGAAAGACTGACAAAAATTAGTTGATACTGTTGGGCTTGTATTTCCTTCTGCCAGGGCTACTTAGTGATGTGCGTGTTTTACAGAATGTGATTACAGTGACTGATGTGAGGACAAAATGATTTTTTTCAGATTCCATCTTTTTTTATTGTTATTAAAAAGGAGTTATAGTTTGAAACTAAATAAACTTAATTTTAACTAATTTTTTAATCATGGTGTTGGAATGCAGAAACACCTGCATCTCATTAGAATTGTATTTAATTAAGAATGGTCACAAATGTCTGACTTCTTGAAAAGTAGCCCTGAGAAGGAAACATGGCTTAAAAAGACTATTTGTCAGTGTAACGATGCCAATGAGAAAAGTCTCAGTTTGTGTCATGGGAGCTTGCATGGGGACTTCAAATCTCTGCATTCAATTTAAATCACAGTTGTCTTTCAGAATATACTGCTTGCATTAGGAAGTAGAGCTAGCAGCATATAAACCTGTGCGTATAAATCACTTGCCATGAAGCTGTGACTGGGGAGATGAATTGCACCCATTTGGTGACTGACACTTGAAAATTATATATTCACATACTTAAAGCAAAATTCTCTGTGTAATGTTTTGATTTGCCTTGGGTTTCTTCATATTCGTTAATGACTGTTCACAAGAATTTTTAGTTTTTTGAAGTCTTTGTATGGCCAAAAATGTCTTTATCTTAGAAATGTCTAGATAATGATTGTTCACGTAGTGGATGACGTCTCTATTTTTGCTTTTTTTCCACTACTTACAGATAATGAAAATGTTATTTGAAGGCCGATACGTTATTTTATTAATGGGTCTGTTTTCTGTATACACTGGATTGATCTATAATGACTGTTTTTCGAAGTCACTAAATATATTTGGTTCTGGATGGAATGTTTCGGCAATGTTTGAACAGAAGGTTTGGCGGTGAGTATGTGCCTCTGTTTGCTATACCATTAAAAGAAAAATGTGCTTCCTGAACAGTTTAACCCTTTTGCTCACCCATTTGAACCATCCTTTTACTGAGAGCAGTAAGCAAATGTAGTGAAATCTAGCAAAATCTAGTTGTCAAGGTAGCAAACGCTAGTGCACTAAGGGCTAAGTGATACATCTATGATTAGAATAAAAAAGGCATAGTTATTTAAAAACCAAAAAAATCAAATTGCTCTTTATCTTAAATTGCGAGATCCACAGAGAACACAATTTCTTGCAAAACCACTATTAGAATTTGATTATGTTTAATTCAGTCAATCTATCAGGTTAAATCTGTATTTATCAGTTCTGCTTTACTGGATTTACATGTCCTCAGCATTTTCTAGAATATTAACATTTGGTGTAGATGACAGTCAGTCTTCTCCTGGAACAAGTTCTGTTGTCATACCCTAATGCTGTATACTAGCTATTAACTTAGTGATTAAAAACTGCAGCTGGAATAGTATCTTTTTATTGGTAGTGAGAACTTGCACCCAATTTTGAGGTGATGTTTCTGGGTTTATTCAGTCTCTAAAAATTCTTAGGTGTGTTTTGCATCTTTTTTTGTGGCCTCACAAAGGTGTTCTTGTGAATGGCTGGAGACTTCAGTGGTGGTGTAAAATCCAAACAGACGGCACTAGGACTTGTGTCTTGTCATGTATTTGTTTTGTTCATTAAAAGTGCACTGCCTCCTGTGTTACAGTTTGTCATTATGCTGATGGTTTTAGTTTGTCTCCAATTACTGTGTTTTCCAGGAGAGGTTTCTGAATAGATATATGTATATGATTTTGAGAGGAACAGGAAACACAGGGCTAGTTTTGGAGAGATTTGTCCTAGGTCGTGCTTCTGGAATGAATAGCCAAGCAGCATTAGCATCTACTGTAAAGAAATTAACAGTTAATAAAATAAATTAATTACCGAATAATTGTTAGTCTCTGCGCAGCTTATCTTTAAAGTGAAAAAAGGAGGCTGTGTGGATTGTCAAACCTACTTTTTCACAAAGTGGGGTAACCTCATTGTTGTGAGCTATCATGGCCCTTTGGTATTTAAATGCTCACAGCTTGTGTCTCATTTTGCTTCAAAAACAGGAAGTGGCTTAAAATAGTAGAGGCGAAACCACTGACTGGTTAAAATGTGACCAGGTTGTGAGTGTGAAGTTAGTGTGAAAACTCATCCAGGTGCAAAAGGGAAAAAAAGATATCCATTATTCTTTGGGTGTTTGTTAGTGAGTTTTATATAAAAGCACATTGTGAAACTTTCCATTCTAGGGGAGTGAGGAAGGAAATCCAGAAACTTTCTTTTCAAAGACAGTTAGTGTGAATTAAGCCCAGATTGTGAGTTTCTAGAGGGTTTTTTTTTGCTATTGTTTTTATTAGCCAGGCCCTTTGTGCTTAGAAATACTTTTATTCTTTTAAAGTCTGACAGTGGGCGAGCTAGTGATGTGAAGGAAAGCAGGAGCAGTGTCCTGCAGAATGGAAAGTATATGTTGTCATTGTGTTTAAACAATGTCAGATGTGATTGTGTTTTCCTTTCTGTGCAGTCTTGAGGATCTGAAGTCTAATCAATTTTTAACACTGGATCCAAACGTTACTGGTGTATACAATGGAGCTTATCCCTTTGGAATTGATCCGGTTAGTTTTACTCTTCTAAACTATCCATTTGTGATGATTAATGGTATGTGTGTTAGAAAAATAGATCTTACTATGGAAAAAATACATTTCTGCTCGCATTCTCCATTCAGAAAGAGCTTGTCCCTTAACAAGTCAAAGAAAGATTTAACTGTTTTCATGAAACTCAAGTTTCAGTTGTGGTCCTCGTTTGAGGTAAAAGTCTGGTCTCCAATAGATAAAGGATACTGTTTTAATCTTTCTGTTACAGTGTTCTTTAATACTGGGTTTGTCTTCTCTTCTTCAGATATGGAGTTTGGCAAGCAACCGGCTCAGTTTTTTAAATTCTTTCAAAATGAAAATGTCTGTGATTTTTGGAGTGACTCACATGACGTTTGGAGTTGTATTGGGGCTATTTAACCACTTGTAAGTACAAGAAGTTACAATAATATTAACATTGTAGTTTTTGTCAAGTCTTGAATCATAACAGTTAATCTGGTAAAAGAAACCGGAACAAGTTTTTAAAAACAATAATAATAGTTGTGAAAACTGTTCTTAAAGACAGACAGCAACAGAGAGGTCTTCCTTCACATAAATAATAGGATGGATCAGTATCATGCCAAAAAACCTGAAGGCATCTATTAATACAAGATTTCATTTCGCTTGTTGCTAAAGAGAGATACAAGCCTCTTATGGTCTTGATTTCTACTGAAATACCTGATGTAAAATTTCACAGAATGTGAAGCAATCAGTTCTGGATTGTAGTTCCAGTCTTGCTGTTTAAAAGTGCTGGGTACTGTTCTGTCTTACTGAAACCATGTTTGGGCCATGTCTTTATCTTAATCTTTCTTTGTAAAATTTGTTTTTCATTTTTGACCCCCGTTTTTGTCTTTTAGGTATTTCAAGAAGAAATATAATATTTATTTGGTTTTTCTTCCTGAACTTTTATTCATGATGTCCATCTTTGGCTACCTTGTGTTTATGATCTTCTTTAAATGGTTAGCATACTCTGCAGAGGACTCTACATCTGCTCCTAGTATTCTGATTCAGTTTATTAACATGTTCCTGTTTACTGGTGGTGAAACAGAGGTCTTCTACACCGGACAGGTTAGTAGGGTTCTTACAGGCTTACGAACATCCCGTGTTCCCTATGCAGATAACACGTTACCAGTCATTAAAGGCTGATCACTGAGTGTTCCCCTAGGAAGGGGAATGTATTAGACTAGGGGGAAATTGAATAAATGATTATTCATTTATGAATATTTGTCGTAATCAGTAATGATTATTAAATAACATATTTACTTTTTAATTACTTGTAAGAGTTTGCATAGTGACTTGTGGAAATACCCGTTTCTAGAACAAAATCTCCCAGGTTAAAATTAAGGCTGGAGAACAATCTCATATTTATAATTCTGATGCTTTTCTATGTGCTGTAAATAATCTTACTAAATGGAATATTGGTAATACCTTAATCTAGAACCCAGTCCTGAAGATGCTGGATGTCTGTAACCCAGTTTAAGGGCCTGATTGAGTAAGATACTTGTGTGCATGTTCAATTTGGAGTAGATGCCCACTGAAGTCAGTAGTATTTTTCTTATGCTCAAACAGGCCTTCAAAGCAGAATGTGAAGGCTTTTCCTGCTTTTGATTTTGTGATCTAATCTACTTTTCTTTTTTTCCCCCTCAAACAGGTTGCTCTGCAGAGGTTTTTACTCAGCATTGCTTTTCTTTCTGTTCCTGTAATGCTTTTTGGTAAACCACTTTATTTATATTGGTTGCACAGTGGAGGCCAAGGCATTAGAATGTACAGGGTAAGTATTGAGAAAGACTTGCACATTTCTTCAGTATAGGAGAATTCAGCTGGTGGTGTGTTGCATATAACATCCTTAGTAGATATTTCTACTCAGTGTGGAAAGTTTTTGACTAGAACACATACTAGTACTTTGTTCCTCTAGCTCTCTTTTTGCCTTTGCCTGCAAGTACTTAAATTTTACAGATGATGTTGGTAGTCCCCTTGAAGAGATGATATGTTTCCTTTTTGTAGAGTGGCTACAAGTTAATTCGAAAAGAAAGTGAAGAAGAGCTTTCTTTGCTGAGATGTCATGATGTAGAAGAAGGAAGCAGTCATTCAGACAGTGGGCACAGAGAGGGGGATGGAGAAGAGGTAATGTTTTTACTTAATCTCTAGTTTGTATGTCCTTAAAGGCAAATTAGAAGTGGACAATTGAGAAGGTAACCTGTACACTTGAGTCCCTGGAAGTTTTCAAGGAAATCAGCTGAGCCTTGGCAAAAAACCTTGATGCCTGAATGCAATTTACTTGTTTTCATTTGTTGCTATTTTATCATTATTTCTTCGTATATTCAGATTGCCACAGTAAACCACAATCTTATCCGTCGTGGAGAACAGGAAGAGTGCTTTATTTGCATCTATAGGCTTTGCATCTAAGACTATAGGTTTTCTTAAATTGAAGAGTGGGATAAAAATCCTGCATTTTGTACAGTTTTATGGATTCTTAAAATTAAGGCAAAAGGACGACTGCCAAACTTCCTGTTAATTAATCTTGGCTTTTCGTCCAGACAAAAGTCTCTTTGTGTCTGCAAATTACATCTTGTGATGAGAATTATTGCTAGTGGGGGTTGGGAGACATGGGCAGCATTCCTAGTCCCCAGCTGTTGCTGCTGTTTAGTTTGGGCAAATTTATAAAGGTCTTGACCGATTCCACTCATTTTGTTTGAATTGAAAGACAAAAAATTACTTCAGTTTCCCAGTGTGCAGACTATGGCTAGTACTTGTTTCACTGGGGTAGTAGTAGGCTCTTACTTCTTACGTATAGGAAATACAGGAATTGTTTGCTTAAATAAAATGTGTCATAGTTCCATGCAAACTAACTGTTGAAATGTGCAGTAGTATTACTCTTGGAACTCTTTGTTAGCAACATGTATGTATATTTAGAGTTTACAGTATTAATGTAGTTATTTTTCTATCATTAGCATTGTTAATAATTAATCCTGCTTTTAAAGATACAGAAACTGACATTGTTAACTTAGGACCTCAATAGAATGGGAATTCGAACCGTGGCTGGTTTTACTGCTTAGAGATTTCAAGTATTAGGTCATGTTCCTTGTGGAAAACATGAATTGTGTTAATTTTTATCTATCAACAAAGTAATTGGGGAAACTAACTGGAAAACTATAGCATCAGATTTTTTTTCTTTAGTGTTGTCTCTGTAATAAGGATCTTAAACATAGCAGGTCTTTTATTCCTTGATATGAAATCAATGTATTACCCTATAATGGAATTTTTCTTCCATGCATGTTAAGATTTGCAGATGAATATTTTTGTTCTGTCATGCTGTACTATGTACTTTAAATGGACACAAATGTATTTTTATATTTTAGCTTAATTTTGCAGATGTTTTTATGAATCAAGCAATTCATACCATTGAATACTGTCTAGGATGTATTTCTAATACGGCCTCATATCTGAGACTCTGGGCATTAAGTCTTGCTCATGCACGTAAGTGTGGGGTTTTTTTACTTTTTAATCTGTCGTGATTTGTGATGCTGGTTAGAGGGAGGCTGGCCCCTTGAAGTGATACTACTATGAAATTAACTTTTTCTTAATTTTGAAAAATTCCCTGTTCAAAACTAATCATGATCTAGGGAAAGCCCCCAAACTAAAATTGTGACTTAGTGTTTGGGATCTAGTAATGTTCTTCATTGATTGCTCTGTGCTGTAAAGCGGCCGATTATCTGAGCGCAGTGTTAGCACACATCGCAGTGTACCAGTAGTCACAGCACCATTTCCTATTTTCCATTATTGACCAGTTTGGAAGGTATTTAGGCACTTGCTGGAGTCTTAGTGTCGTGGTGCAAAATGTTGCCATCAGTAGACGTTATTTTGAAGCTGAGATGTACCTTTCAGTATTTCAGCAGAGGGAGGGAGGGGCAACTAACGGGGCAGGGATTGCTTATAGTTCCCGTGTTCACCAGATCCTGTAATATTGTTTAAACTAGAATACAGGTCAGAGCAGCTCACTGGTTGAATGTATGCAGTATCAACGTTAATGATGAAAACTTTTTTTTTTTTGATAGAGTTATCAGAAGTTCTGTGGCAAATGGTGATGAGAGTGGGTCTTCGTGTAGATACAACATATGGTGTCTTACTGCTAGTCCCTGTTCTAGCCTTTTTTGCTGTGCTAACCGTTTTTATTCTTTTGGTCATGGAGGGGCTTTCTGCTTTTCTCCATGCTATACGACTTCACTGGTAAGTTCATTTTTTCTTTTTACCGCTTTAATGTATACTGGCTTGTTTAAGAGGAATTTTTGTGTCAAAAAGTTAGGTGCCGTATTGGAAAGTGTAAAATTCAACAGCCTTAAGCTGCTGTAATAGATTTATTTAATGGTATTAAATAAACGGCTTGTTAGTTGAATGTGATTGTTCTTCTGGAATATATTCAGTAAATTCAAATATTATATTGGCGTATGATGCATATTAACCTCTACCACGTTCAGAGTTTATTTTGGTGCAAACTATGAGTAAATCTGATTTATAGTATTGCAGCTGTTCATAGTGTAGAATATTAGTAACGTGGATAAGTATTTTGAATTTCAGTCTGGTTATATCTCTGAATGACCTCAGTCTATTTTATTTATTTGGTTCAACAGAGCGTTTGTATTAGTGAGCAAAACTTTTATTAAAGTGGGGCTGGCAGCCGTTAAGTATTTTAATCCTTTCTTAGTCTTAATATCACGAGCTCTGCACATTGGAGTGGATTCAGGGGATATTTAGTTTGAAACCTGATGAAATACGCAGTGTAAGAAAAGGCAGGCATAGAGTATATAAACCAAGGCAGAGCTATATGTATTACAGAGTGTTGTCCTTGTGATATTGTGTATTTGCAAAATGATTAACTGGAAAACACACTAGTAAGACCAAAGTGAGGAATGATCCATTAAGCACTATGTCAGTGTGCTTGGGTCTCTTGAGAAACATGAAATTTGCCTGGGACTGTGCTAGGAAGGTTAAATAGCAGCACAGAAAGCGTTAAGTGACAGGATTAGGTTTGGGTTTGTTCAGCTTTTTGTGTTGCTCAGTTCTATCCCTTGACAACCAGTCATTTTGGATTAATGTACAGATTCTGTATATTTTTGTCTCGTTTCAGGGTGGAATTTCAGAACAAATTCTACTCTGGTGGAGGATACAAGTTTACGCCTTTCTCTTTTAAGCACATTTCTTTACATTTTAATAAAGATGATATGGCATAGTTTGGTTGCTGTCGACAGAAATGTTTGGAATTGTCTGCAAATAATCATGTGATTGGATCTCACCTATGAATGGTTTCTTGTAGGACAAAGTGTTTTTCACTGATTGCCTTATAATGCAGCCAAATAATTCTGTAATATATACCTCCCATAGAACTACATAGCAGATCTGGAGCATCTTGTAAAGTATATAGATATAAAATGTACATTTTTCTTGATAAACTAATGTTGTAAATTAATTTTATTCTTAAAAAAAGTTGTTACTGCTTGTCCTAAAACCAGCGTAGGCATTTTTTTTTGTTGAGGCTGTTTATTTTCTTGAATGATTACTTTTAAGTTATCTGAAAGACATTTCCTCATATTAAACATTCATTACTAATCACATACTTAAGCAAGCAACCCTCTCATGCACTTTGGGAACAATTCAGCAATGCAACAGAAGCGATGTATGTTTCTAGTATCTATTTCCAGAAGGATTACGAAATGTAAATTTATACTTAGCAATGCAACGTGCTCTTTTTTTTTGGACATGTTTAAAATTACACCGAAAATGTTAACTGTTTATTCTGAGTTCTGCCCGGGACTATTTCTTTAATCTTTTGGAAGCCACGGTCATGTTTAATGTTATGGAAGAAGGCAGGATTAGTACTGGAGACTGCAAGTATCAGCCCTCTTGTTTCCCTGTAGCGAGGAGCTTTTGGCAGAGCACGCTTTGTGCAGCCCATCACTTGCAGTGACCTTGGTGGGTGAAAGCCTCAGAAAAATTCTTACACTTGTCTGGCTGAGGACTCAAATAAAAGAATCAAACTGCCTACTAGAAGTTTTTATCCTAGGTTCTGTTTTTACAGCATGGTCCTAGGCAGTTTCTGCTCCTCGGAATGACTTTTGCCCAGGGAGTGGAGAAGGGGCCTTGCTCCATGTTCCTGTTTGCCTGTAAGGACGCACATACAGCACTGCCTGATGTTGTTGAACCGAAGTTTACACCGTAGAGGGGGAAGGGGGTCATTTTGTATTATTTTTGTATCGGTGTGAAAATGGGGATATTGCCGTGTTTTAACGTCTGTGCCATAAGAACAGCAGAAGTTAAATTTTGCACTTGTTTCATGCGAATTCCGAATAAAACCTCATTCGCGCTGCTCAGAGCCGGCCCCTGTGTTTGCACGAGCCCTTTCCCTGCACCCGGCAGCGCTGTGAGGGAGGGCCCGGCCTGCGGCTCCCTCCAGGCGGGAAGCCCTTCCCGCTCCCCGCTTGTTTTAACGTCTGTGCCATAAGAACAGCAGAAGTTAAATTTTGCACTTGTTTCATGCGAATTCCGAATAAAACCTCATTCGCGCTGCTCAGAGCCGGCCCCTGTGTTTGCACGAGCCCTTTCCCTGCACCCGGCAGCGCTGTGAGGGAGGGCCCGGCCTGCGGCTCCCTCCAGGCGGGAAGCCCTTCCCGCTCCCCGCTGTCCCCGGCGGCGCGCGGGGTGGCCGGGGCTGAGGCAGAAGGACGCCCGTGAGGGGCGGTGGGAGGGCGGGCGGCAGGCGGGCCGCGGGCGTTGCTTCTCCCCGGCCCGTTGCCGTGAGCACCG